GACTCCTAGTGTATCTGCTAGGAACCTCTAGAAGATTTTTCGGTTTAGCAAACGACACGAGACCAGCTGCCGAACAGCCACCGGCGTATTACACAAATGTTATAAAATCTTTACAACAATGGCGAAACGATTTTCCAATTCAGGAACTTATGGAAATGTCCCCCACCGACATGAGCGAATTATTAGCATTTAAAAGACTATCTGAAGAACAACGCCGGAAATGCCGGGCGAAAAGACGCTGGACTCTTACAAACACGTCTCTCCCATCCGAGGTCCGTGACCTAAACTGGCTTAGGGAATGGGAGGCTTTACCAACGGCCGACCGCCTTGCGGCGTGGGGCGTGGCGCCCTCCGCCACATGCCCGCAATGCGGTCGCGTCGAAACACTGAACCATGTCTTCCACGAATGTATAGTAGTGCGTACCTTTTGGCGCATGGTTACCAGAATGTTCCAAACAAGTATGCAGCGGAAGTCTAGCCACAGGGATAACTTTGTCGTACTCTTAATGGCTATCGGAGCCTTCGTCTTATGGAAACGAAGGGGACTGGCCCGTCTGAGGGGACGCCCCCAGAGAGCCATGTTTCCCCTACTACATCGGCTAAGAAACATAATGCTTATGCATCTTAACGCAGAACTAGTCATGCTGGGAGAGGAGGCTTTCCTCCGACGCTGGTCTACGCGATTTATTATTGTAAAAAAACAAGTGTCCATGCCTTTCCTCCCCTATTGAGGAGGTGGGCTATAGCTTGTACCACTGAGACATTACAGTGTGCATTTTTCTTTTCTTCCATTGAAACATGTCCTTTTGTGCAATATTGTTCTTGAGCTCGAGAGCAAATTTTCCTCACAGGTGAACACAAAACATCACCCTTCACTGTGAATGACCTCCACCAGTTTGCTGTTATAGCCTTACTGTTTAAGTTGCATCACCTTGATGGCAATAATGTTCTGTCTTTGTCGAACAATTTTTGCATTGTACATCACTGCATACAATATTATAAGTTCCTTCGCTGTATATAACAGTTTGCATTGTACATACGCATTGTTCACCATTGTCCATTTTTATGTCTGCACATAGGCTGTGTATGATATATCCGGAAATAAAATTCTCTTAAACTAGGCGGTGCCTCCAGGAAGAGGTGCGGGCATTGCACTGCGCTCGTGCTGACACCTGCCACTACCCCAAACTGGGTCAGATGGGGCAAGCAATTTTTTGGTAGTGGGGGACTGCGTTCGCGCTATCCCCCTTAATTTCAAAATCCAAAGGAAGATGTGATCCATTATCCGACTTACGGAATGTTGATTCGCTGTGCGTTGGGTGCTTTTTATATCTGTGAGCAAACGGTGTCCTACAGTATATTACTGCTCCTCTGTAACTTACGCGGCCGCTGTCGATAGCGCTGGAATATTGTACGACACATGTATAGATGCCAACGTGCCTCACCGCTTGTCGAATTGATCGACGGTGCTCCGTTCACCGCTATCGGCATGCTATCGGTGCCAGGGTGCATTTCTGTAATCCGACTTTCCGTTTACCGGCCACAAGTACGGCCCAAATGGAGTTTCATCTTGGACACACCGACTGCAGCCTTCGTCAACGCCACGACCACGTGACAATATTCATCTCACCAGGCCTCTTCGCTGCACTGATTATTGACCCAGATAATTGTTATCTTGCATTATGAAAGGTCTTCAAAAGAAGCCCGGAAAACATGCTGTACGCGTGGCTGCCCCCGGAGAAAGGAATTAAGGAATTGCTATATATATATATATATATATATATATATATATATATATATATATATATATATAATGTATGTATGTATATGTATATCATCATCATCAGCCTGGCTACGTCCACTGCAGGACAAAGGCCTCTCCCATGTTCCGCCAGTTAACCCGATCCTGTGCTTGCTGCTGCCAACTTATACCCGCAAACTTCTTGATTTCATCTGCCCACCTAACCTTCTGCTTCCCCCTAACCCGCTTTCCTTCTCTGGGAATCCAGTTAATTACTCTTAATGACCAGCGGTTATCCTGTCTACGCGCTACATGCCCGGCCCATGCCCATTTCCTCTTTATTTCAACTATGATATCCTTAACCCCCGCTTGTCCCCTAATCCACTCCGCTCTCTTCTGGTCTCTCAAGGTTACACCGACCATTTTTCTTTCCATTGCTCGCTGCGTCGTCCGCAATTTAAGCTGAACCCTCTTTGTGAGTCTCCAGGTTTCTGCTCCGTAGCTAAGTACCGGCAAGATACAGCTGTTATATACCTTCCTCTTAAGGGATAATGGCAATCTACCTGTCATAATTTGAGAGTGCTTGCCGAATGTGCTCCACCCCATTCTTATTCTTCTAGTTACTTCAATCTCGTGGTTAGGCTCTGTGGTTATTACCTGCCCTAAGTAGACATAGTCTTTTACAACTTCAAGTGCACTATTACGTATCTCGAAGCGCTGTTCCTTTTCGAGGTTGTTGTACATTACTTTAGTTTTCTGCAGATTAATTTTAAGACCCACTTTTCTGCTCTCCCTGTGTAACTCCGTAATCATGAGTTGCAATTCGTCCCCTGAGTTACTCAGCAATGCAATGTCATCGGCGAAGCGCAGGTTACTAAGGTATTCTCCATTAACTCTTATCCCTAACTGTTCCCATTCTAGGCTTCTGAAAACCTCCTGTAAGCACGCGGTAAATAGCATTGGGGAGATTGTGTCCCCCTGCCTTACACCCTTCTTGATTGGTATTCTGTTGCTTTCTTTATGAAGCACTATGGTAGCAGTTGATCCCCTGTAGATTTCTTCCAGAATGTTTATATATACTTCGTCTACGCCCTGATTCCGCAGTGTCTGCATGACGGCTGATATTTCTACTGAATCAAACGCCTTCTCGTAATCTATGAAGGCCATATATTGTGGTTGGTTATACTCTGAGCATTTCTCTATTACTTGATTGATAGTATGAATGTGGTCAATTGTTGAGTAGCCTGTTCGAAATCCTGCTTGTTCCTTTGGTTGATTGAATTCTAATGTTTTCTTTACTCTGTTAGCAATTACCTTTGTAAATAGCTTGTACACTACAGAAAGCAAGCTGATCGGCCTGTAATTCTTCAAGTCCTTGTCATCTCCTTTCTTATGTATTAAGATGATGTTAGCGTTCTTCCAAGACTCTAGTACCCTTCCCGTCAGGAGACACCTCGTAAACAGGGTGGCTAGTTTTTCTAACACAATCTGTCCTCCATCTTTCAGCAGGTCTGATGTTACCTGATCCTCACCAGCAGCTTTGCCTCTTTGCATGCTCTCCAAAACTTTTCTGACTTCTTCTATCATTACTGGTGGGGTGTCACCTGGGTTACTGCTAGTTCTTATAGTATTAAGGTCGTGGTTGTCTCGGCTACTGTACAGATCTCTGTAAAACTCCTCCGCTACTTTAACTATCCTATCAATATTGGTAGTTATTTTGCCTTCTTTGTCCCTTAGTGCATACATTCGACTTTTGCCTATCCCAAGTTTCCTCTTCACTGCTTTGAAGCTTCTTCCGTTTTTCAGAGCGTGTTCAATTCTCTCCATGTTATACCTTCTTACATCGCATACTTTACGTCTATTAATCAACCTCGAAAGCTCTGCCAGTTCTATTTCGTCTGTTGTACTTGACACTTTCATGGTTTGACGCTTTTTAATTAGGTTCTTCGTTTCCTGGGAAAGCTTGCCAATGTCCTGTCTAACTACCTTGCCTCCAACTTCCACTGCACACTCCGTAATGATACTCGTCAGATTACCATTCATTGTATCTACGCTAAGGTTGGTTTCCTCACTAAGAGCCGAGTACCTGTTCTGCAGCGACACTCTGAATTCTTGTACTTTCCCTCTCAGTGCTAGCTCATTGATTGACTTATTGCGTATTAGTTTCTGTCGTTCCTTCTTCAAGTCTAGGCGAATTCGAGACCGTACCATTCTATGGTCACTGCATCGTACCTTGCGAACCACTTGCACATCCTGCACGATTCCTGGGTGTGCGGTCATTATAAAGTCTATTTCGTTCTTATTTTCGCCATTAGGGCTCCTCCATGTCCACTTGCGGTTTTCTCGTTTTCGGTAGAAGGTATTCAATATCCGCAAATTATTGCGCTCTGCGAATTCTACTAGTAGCTCACCTCTGGCGTTTCTAGTGCCGATGCCATAATCTCCTACTGCCTGGTCTCCAGCCTGCTTCTTCCCTACCTTTGCATTAAAGTCGCCCATCACTATAGTATGTATATGTATATATGTATGTATATATATATATATATATATATATATATATATATATATATATATATATATATATATGCGTGGTACAATTGGAATGAGAAAGACCAAATAGTTTTAGCGCAATTTTTTGCCGTCTTTGTTTCGTGTTTGTTTTTAACCATGACTATGTATACCAACAAGCTCAAATGCACACGCCTCTCGAAATGCACTGTTATTTTATTAAGGCTAGTCTCAGTTCCAACTGTGCCCTGACGTCACAACCCAGCATGAGCTTCTCAGAAGTGGGGCAGCTTGGGCTAGTTGACATGGTTGGGCTAGTTGACAAGACGAGCGCTCGTGTCCTTCTTGTCTCTTTGTCGTCGTTCTGTTCTTGCGCTATAACATGAGCTTCTTGTCACGTGCTCGCGCAAGATGTCATGATGTTTTCAAGCCTTCTCAGCCGACACGGGGGTGTCGGCTCTGCACTGTGGGTTGGTACTGGGGCGGCGCTAGCGGAAGGTACAGCGTGTTCGCCTCCCCCCTCCTACCAGCTTCGCCAACATGTTCAAAAGAGAATGCAAGCGTTACCCGCCTTCCTGCTCGAGAGGATGAACTTACTTGTGGAACTTACTTGTCCCATGAAGAAGTCCTAATACTGGCCCTGCTTTGCTAGAGTCGCTGGCAAAAGTTTTTTTCCAGCGACTCTAGCTTTTGCACCACCACTAAACCCCTGGCGGCAGGAGCGCGAACGGCGCCATGCGCCACTTGACCACGCCCCTCCTCCTCCTCCGAAGCAGACAGCAGACGCGCAGCGAGCGGATAAGTTCAGTCCGTACAGTCGGGTGCCCCGTTGGTGGTTGCTGTTCAACGAATTTGGCGCGTCATGTCGTCTCCTCGGGTCGCAGTGGTAAGAGAATACGCCGCATCGGCTTCCTATACACACGTAGCAATTTTATTATCTCGGTGTTCTTGTTTTACGAGTTGTTCGAAAGGCGCGTTCGCGGGGCGACTGCGTGGAGCGATCCGGAAATCGTGCGCCGGCGTACGGGTCACGGAAAACTGGTGGCGGCCTTGCGAGACCTTGCTTGAGTCATTCATGAATCATTCTCGTGCGTGCTCGCGACTGTCGCAAGCGTGGTGAACGGTGAAAATAGTCTGCCAACCGGTTCTTCGCATCGAGATGATCAGAGAAAGAGAATAGACACTACCGTGCACCGTTCGCCCGCCCTTTCTGTCCGTTAATTAAGAACTCCCGAATCTACTCTCCCCGTGTGCGTCAGTTATTGCTCTTACCGATTCACATTGCATCGTGTCCAAGTGCTCAGTGCTATCTTTTTGCGCGTGTGTTTATCCCCGCAGCCCTCCGAGAGTGTTTATCCTCTCAGTGCATTGTGCGTCCGCTTGTGTGTGCGAAGGAGATGGGCAGGAGTCAATGATCTACCACTGTCCGTTACCTGTGCAGAGCATTGCGTAGCCGGGTGGGTTCGACTAATGCCCTCCTCCAGAAAGATGCCTGTTACGTGAGCCCAAGAGCTGGTTTCCTGCCATCCGCTCGCCTTTGTGAATTCGCTCCCGGCCCTCTCCTGGTCTCTCCTCTTCCGCTTCCCCAAACATGCTTTGTGTCCGCCAACGTTTTTAGATACTGTTAGTGTTAGATCTACTATATATGCCACCTTTAGGTACCTAAAGGTAGCCTATACAGTTACCCTAGCTGGTGTCGGCTGCTTCAAAACTTGCGGCCTCTGAGGTTAAAACAATGTCTACTGCGCATCGAACGCGTTATTCGAAGGTCGCAGGTTCGGTACCTGTGCGCGGCAAGTGATCTTTTTACCCACTTTTCTTACTCCACACTTACATTAAAATTCGGTGTAATAATTTCCCCTGTACTTTCCTTGGCATCATTGGTCTGTCAGATCCCATTAATATTGCGTCAATATATATATATATATATATATATATATATATATATATATATATATATATATATATATATATATATATATATATGCACTAACATAGTAGCATGCACATAAAATTATCAACACCTTCCCCTAAAAAAAATCTCGTCACGCCACTGGTGAAGACACTCTTATGTACTAACACATTGCTTCATTTACATGTGTATCGAACTTATCACCATTTCGGATATATTTGCACATTTACGGCACTTTTTTTTCTCTGATCCTATGAACACTGCAGACGTCGGTGTGAAACCAATATTCGTGAGGATGTGCGAACATTCGGGACTTTTTAACAGTGCATATAATAGTGTGGTATATGTGATCAAGTCCTCGGATCGACAGATCGCATGTTTTATTCTTCGTTTTCAAAAGTAATAGTGCAACCAGTAGAAATTCCTGATACATGTCGAGTATTGTTATTGAATGATAACACTTCGTCGACTTTACACGATCACACATTAGCCAAATTGCCTCATGGTGCAGCAAACGGATTGTGTGTCAAAGCTCGAGGATTAATACATCGTAATAAAATTCTGCTTAGACCGTCCAGGCACTATTCATAGAGGTGGAACTTGTTCTTTTAATAAATGTATCGATTTCATAGCCTTAAATATTTAAAAAATGGTTCAATTCAATGTAGCATGCACTTTAGCTAGCATGCGTCGTCGTGGTCGTTCATTGGAACTATTTAAGGAAGCCCCCCCCCCCCCTTTTTTTTTTCTTCTTTTGCTTTTTTTCACGTTCTGTCGTCACTGCACGCATTCTTTATTTTGTCTTGAATATACGTCGCCTGTTCAACTCTATTTCTATACCAGTTTGTTGGTTTCAACTCCTTGCTCTCTGACACTCACTGTTGTCTTTAAGTTATTATACACCTATAGCACTTGTAGCTCCATCGTTCATCTCACAGCGAAAATTAAGCTGTTGCCACATACGCTAGTTCCTGTAGAATGCAGCGCCTGCCCACTGTTCGCGCACCGTAAGAAATGCGCGTAACACGTGCCGCTAAAAACCATGCACCCAATATATCAGTTCGACCAGTCCTGTGCAGGAGTTTTGCATGAGATTTCAGCACTTGTGAAGAGTTCCAGTAGCCACCCTTCTGAAGCGCCCTTCAAATCTTTGCCCTGTCTCAACAAGGTTACATCCACAACTTCAGCACACTGTTGTCACTGCACCGTTACTGCTGGTATTTCATTCGTGTTTAATGTAATAGACGTTACGATCGTTGGACTGCAGAGGGCACGAATTTTTTATACAACATAGAGAGAATATCTGTAGTTATTTCAATCTTCGTGAGTAAGTTTAGCTAGTGAATTAATTAGTCAGGTATTTTGTTTGCTCGTTTGTTCGATTGTATGTTTGTTTATTAGTTTGTTTGTTATTGTTAAGACGAAAACATCAATTGCCTCGTCGTGCGCTAACCCAGAGCGAAACACGGAAGGCGCATGAAGAGGCACAAAAACCCACGTTATCTTCTTCGGATGATTGATTAATTGATTGATATGTAAGGTTTAACGTCTCAAAACCACCATATGATTATGAGAGACGCCGTATAGGGGAGGGCTCCGGAAATTTCGACCACCTGGGGTTCTTTAACGTGCTCCGAAATCTGAACACACGGGCCCATAACATTTCCGCCTCCATCGGAAATGCAGCCACCGCAGCCGGGATTTGAACCCACGAGGCTGCGGGTCAGCAGCCGATTTCGTGTTAATGGCGATAAAGCGCGGGGCATTGTCTGTATGCTACGAAGAAAAAAATGCCGCCCGCATCTTCCCACGGGAAAACTCGAGTAAATGCGTCGCAGGGTGGTGGGGCCGGCATCGCGTGAATGTTGCGTAATTGGATATGATTGGGGAATGTTTAATTGTTATTTCGTCTTTATTATTCTTACTTATTGAATGAAGGAGAAGCGTTGCCTTCAAATTCAAGCAAAAGCCAACCTAAGTAAAGACGCCCTTGACTGAATTCCGAACGCGCGACCCAGTGCGTATACATATACGGGGTAACTAGTGAATGGTTGTGCAGCTCAAGGAGGAGAAGAAATAGACTTTATTATAAGAAACCAGCAGGTTTAGGGGGCCGGACCTAGGCCTCCCATGAGGGGACGTCCAGGGCTTGCCTCGACGCCACCTCACGGGCGTGCTGGGTCGCCCAGGTTTGGTCGTAAAGAGCGGGGCTTTGCACAGCCTCATGGAGCTTCGACGAAAGGGTCGTGGCGTTAGTGTGTCTGTGCTGTGCCGGGCACTCCCACAGCATGTGCGGAAGTGTAGCCGTGTGAGTGCCGCAGCACCAGCTGCAGCGCAAGCAATCGTTTTTTTTTTAACTAGCAGACGGTGCCTGCGTTGGTTTTGCGAGGCGAGAGAAGGTGAGGGGAGCGACAGTTTTTCGGATGTCTTCCTGGGCTGGCACGGGACGCGAACATGCGCAGTTGGGGTGTGGACCAACGTTATGGCATCAACTACTTGTGGACAAAAAAAAAAAAAGAAACTATTGGTGGCAGTTCGAAACAGGCTTTTATTGTTCCTGCACGTAAGTTATTTTCGGACCCGAGGTGCATAGCCTATCGGACGTCAACCTTCGCAACTCTCAAATCTGCCGAACCGGCCAAGAGCACAGACTGTGGGCTGTTGTCCTGCTGCCTATCTTGAATGATGGGCGGTAAATGGCTGAGTAAATACGCAGTACAGATAAGCGGGTCCGTCCAGAGATGTGACTCTTGCCATCTATTCTGTGAGACCGCGTTTGTTGACCTGAATTCTGTATACGAAGCCGACGTAGCTGTCCCTATAAGGTTCTCACGTTTAGGGCCTGCACACTGCAATTATCAGCCGCACAGGGTCTGTGTTCGTGGAAGCATGTGCGAACACAAGACAGTGTACAAATTGTCAAAGTACGTATCACTTCACTACATATAAAGCGACTCGCGACACTATGCTGCGCCACCTTCGCCCCACATTTTCATTGATGGACGAGAAAATCTATGTCGACAGTTTCACTTTCAAATTTCCCGCCTTAGTCTCCCATGGTGCCGTCACGGATATCGGAGTATTTTCTTTGGAATTTGGCGACATTTGTTGAAATAAACTTCCTGAGGCTTTGTAAGCTGTCTCTGGCTCCATGAGAAGACAATACACTACAGTTTTACCGATTAGGAAATATATCTACTACGACGTCACGGTGACTGGTGCGTCACGGTGACTGGTGCGTCACGGTGACTGGTCACGTCACTGTGGCTGGTGCGGGAACGTCAGGGTGACTTCGCCACACGCAATTTCCTTTTGCGTGTTTTTCTTGCGTACAAAGCGCCTTCTCGCACCAAGCGTGTTGTTTTTGGGATAATCGAACACGAATTTGCGAATTGAAATAAACGGTATTTTTTTAATTTTTCGCATCCCTTTAAGAGCACCCTCATTTACACTTGTTGTTTGGAGAAGAAACGAGTGCATTATATGTTATCAAATTGAACAGCACATACACTTTTCGGCATACCCGCGTTTGATTGTGCAGGTTACAGGAAGCAACAAGGGCATAGGATTCTGCATAGTGAAGTTCCTGTGTCAACAGTTTGACGGAGATGTCTTCCTCACGGGTGAGTGGATAGCGATATAGGGTATGCGAATGCTGCCTCGAATCAGTTCCAAGACTATGATCTCACATGCCTGACTTTGCTGCAGCACTTTGGCGTTTTGTGAAAAAGTGTACACAATATGTTGCTTCGTGAAGCGTATTTGGAGGAAAGGAGAGACTGTCAGGTGTACACGCGCGCACGCATGCGCCGTTTCCGGTCGCAGTACCAAGACTTCTATAGTAAATGTACCGGCAGGTCTTCGTATAGCTGATACTGATGGGAGTGTGATCATTTAATCACTTGCTTTGCTCTCAAGTGCGCGCCACTTTAAGGGGTATAGGGCTGTCGTAGTATACGCAGGCCAAACCAGATATATCATAGCCAGCTGTGGCGTATTGAGCGCGTGCTAACGCCAAGGAGGAATTGTGTGGCAGCTTGGGCTAGTTGGTATGGCATGACGATAGAGCGAGAACGAAACGACGACACACACTTGTCCTTCTTGTCTCTGTGTCGTCGTTTTGTTCTCGCGCTATGACTATCGTCATGCCAAGGAGGAGTCTTCTTCCTCTCGTTCTCCGGGTGCCTTGATGATCATATCGAGTGCGGATAGAAGAGAGAGAAAATAAAATGGGGGAAAGGCAGAGAGTTCATACAGAAATTGGGGCTTCCGGTTTGATACATTGCACTAAGGAAAATAGGAAGGGGGAAGAAAGATGAGAAAGAAAGCGGAGAGCAAAATAGACGCTCCAAAAAGAAAAAAAGTGAGCGGGGGTGCTATAGCCTATTTAATAGGCCGCTACCACGCAAGAAGTTCAATAAGGCCTTCACTCATTTTCTGTGCGAAGACCGATCATGTCGCTTTCGAGTGCTGACCGTTCTCACGAGGGTCTGTCGTCAAGGCGAGCTAACGCTGCAGCTAGCGGCCGTCTTTACACGCTGTAACGAGGGCAGTGACAGAGAAATCGCTACTGTGGCTAGGGAAACACGACAGCATAAACTACGTGAAAAAATTTAAAGAGGAAGCAAGCGAGACATGGAAAGAGAAAAAAAGAAATGAATGAAATAGAAGAAAAAAAAAAACAAGAAACAAGCAAGGCTTCAATTAGGGCTAGTTTGTGCGACTTTGCAATGTGCGCCTCCTGTCCTCTTGCTTCGTCTGTAGTCGTTCGTGCATTTTGCTCAGCTTAACTGTACATTACAAAACTAGAGATAAATGGAAATAAATACAAAAAGTACCACAGAAAAGCACGTAAAAGGGAACAAGAAAGAAAGAAAAAACTGAAAGATAAACAAAGAAGTCACCGGCACCGCACTTTTTTCAGGCTTGGCAGCACTAGGGCCAATATGCCAGAATTTTTCTAACAGTGGAGGCGTTAGAATTTGAGATAAATCCAGCGGCGTCCGCAGAAACTGCGCCTTTCATCTCTCTGCGATGAGGTCACCCCGCGTCGCCTATCATCGCGTTGGACGATGGATAAGAATATAAAGACGGGGAGGCGGAGGAGAATGAATAATCAGGTAAAAGTATATAATTTTTTTTTTGGCCGCGGGATTCGAACGCGCGTACCGACGGTACAGAGGCGAGCGTCGTAACTACTCCACGAGCGGTGTAATAGAACGAGCATTTACGGGAGCCATGTGATTGCGCAGCTATGGGCGAAGGAAAGATAGAGGAAAGGTGAGATAGAGAAGGAAAGAAAGAGATCATGGCATAGCCATGTAGAGTATAGTAAAGCAAAAAGTGATTAAGAGTAGCGAGGAGAAGGGAAAGGAGGGAAATGCATAACATTGCCGTGTGTAGGGGGTCGGGAAAGGAAAGTGAGGGTGAGGGTATGGAGGAGAAGACGAGGACACAGCGAGAATGTTGCAAAGAAAGAAAGAGAAAGAAACAGATATAAAGAGAGGAAAGAAAGGTAAAAAAGATAGAAGACGACAGAACGACAACAGCTAAAGAGAAAAAAAAAGAAATAAAGAGAAAATAGAATGAAAGGGAACGAGATAGAGGAAGAGATCGACAGAGAGGGATAGAAACAAACATGCACTCAAGAGAAAAAGAGAGCAAGCTTAGCAGCCTATATCACACTACAGCACAGTATAGTATTTTAAATGCGGGAAATGGAGCAAGGGATGGGGAAAAGACTGGTGTGAAACAGTAAAAGCCTAGCCAACATGGACCACCTGTGCCCATCAGTTCTGCTGTGACCCGGCCTTGCGCGACTTAGCGTAAGCGTTGCTATTTTTTTTCTTTTTTAATGAACAGCCCGGGACGAGAAAAGGGGCAAAGAAGCTGTGGCAGAGCTCAACAAGCAGCTGCTGCGCCCAAAGTTTCACCAGCTCGACATCGACGACATCGAAAGCATCCGCAGATTTCGCGACTTCCTCAAGAGTGAGTATGGAGGCCTGGATGTGCTCGTGAACAACGCTGGCATCGCTTACAAGGTGAGTACTTCATTCTAGAATAGCCTGTCAAAGTGTGCGTTTCAAGGATAAATCGCATAGGAGGTGAAGATTTTTTTGCCCGGGACTGCCGCAACCGCGATACACTGTGCATGTGCACATGGTATTGCAGTTACATTGTAGCAAAGCCGTCTGAGCCTGCTGACGCATAATGAAGTATAGTCAAACCCAACTGAACTCAGGTAAATCGAATGACTCTTATTTTTCAAATATTGAGATACCTTACCATCAATGCATAGGAAAATCTACGGCTACATCGAAGAAAAATAGCCGTACTACTTAATGCATCCAACATTAGAGCAACGCGAAACGCCCCAGAAAGTTGGATTTTCCTCATAAAAAAGGCCGGCGTTATCTCACAAAAAGGGATTTTTCTGCACGCGTTTTGCAGAGCGATAAATGTAGCTAGGTGGGCGCCATGCCGAAATTGTACACAATGTCGCTTCCTATCACCTACTTTCTCCCATGATTACACGCCGTCACACCGGTATGTCTGCGGCCGGCGGCGTTCGCTTATCCGCGATTCTCCCCTTCATAACGCCAGTGGCTGCCGTAATAGCGGGAGGAACGTGCTGTCCTCCGCGATGCTGGCGATAATCGAGGACAGTCGAACGTAGACAAACAAAACCACACTGAGCACGACGTTTAAGAATAACGTCGACGTTAAGAATAGGCGAACCGAAGGCCTCCTGCACCCGACCAGAACACGCAGCCGCACATGGAAATGTTGAGGCGCTGTTTGCAGAGATACCTAATTTTCCTCGCGGATAGACGGCTACTGCACACAACACGCACCCACAAGTACAAACCGTGAAAAAAAAAGAATATAAAAAAACGTACTGCCGTCAAGCCGCCTTTTTTGCTATGCCGCAAAGCAGTGCCGTAATGCCGACTTGACACCAAAACTCGCGGCGAACATAAATTAAATTCTATAAAATTATTGCAAGCGAATATTAGTGACATATCAAACTAACTACTGTTTTTCTTTTTCGAGTTCACTGTAGGCTAGTTATACGGCACTACACTTTCTCAAAGGTGACTTGTACCATCAACGCACGTGTATTTGTCTTCTGTCGGAACACCTTTAAATGCTATTGAACTAACTAATCGCTGCCATAAGACGGAAGATAACTTGTTCACGCATTCTACAGGCGATTATATTTTGCTGGTTGTATAGATCCGTGCCTGTCCTCACTTTTTTTCTTTACTTCGAGCTACTGTTTTTGTATCGTTAAGACCATGTCCTTGTTGCTTAGAAACTGAAAACATCGTTTGCGTGCCGAATGTCTTTCGTAAATAGTCAGTTTATCGAAGGTTGAACGACGAGGGCGTCACACTTTCTTCGAAATAGCCTTGCTTACATATCGACTCTACATTGATACAATCTCTGAGCCTGATTCTGCATTTAAGACGTTCGCAATGAATTGCGTGGAACTTGTGTCATCGTCGCAATACTAACCCTATCACAATAGAAGTCTGTTAACATTAAGCGTAGGTCCATGACGTTAGACTAATGCAGGGCGAGCTTGTATGTCATGTACGCGTAAAGTTTCTTAAGGACGACGCAATCTGGCTTGGCAAAGTCCTGGACACTCAATTGAAATGTGAGTGCATCTTAGCTGTCCCCCTCGTTTGACGCATTAGGCATGTGAACTTAGGTGAGCTAACCAATAAGCGTCGCCAGCAGCTTTTTATTTTCTCGGGACGTCTTCGCAGTAAAGCTATCACTTCGCTTTGCCGGTAATCGTCAGATAGCGTTTCTGCTCGACTTTCATAGTTATGTGATCGCTGTTTTTTTTTCTTCCTTTTAACTGCAGAACGACTCTACAGCACCTTTTGCAGAACAGGCAGAGGTAACTGTGAAGACGAACTTTTTTGGAACACTGAATGTCTGCAAAGAGTTATTTCCCCTGCTACGTCCACATTCCAGGTTTGTTTTGCTAATCCCCTGCGCTTAAAGTGGTATTTATAGTTCAGCGGCGCAAACCAGCTGCAGTGATCCTGCAGGACGTGTCCTGCAGTAATTACATGCAGCAGTCGTAACTATATCATGCCTAATGTAAATGCACCGCCGCAATTTAGAATGACACGTGTTTTCGTAACGTAACGCGCTACCAGCATGCAGTCGCTCGAGAAAACTTTAGCAGTAACGCTGCTCTGAATGGTTAGGTTAGGACGAGTCGGTGCAGCTGTATAAAACTTGTTGTTTGGCTAGTTAGTTATTCGTCATATAGTCATACAACTCTACGGGAGTTGCATACTCTATTCCTTTATCCTGCGGAAAAGTGTACGTCGGTATAACCGAGAGATGCCTAAATGACCGGCTTAGGGAACATGCCTAAAGGTATACAGAAAAACGAGGATAAGTACGCGCATCTTGTGGAAACATACTGCTGAATGTTGATGTGAGCCACGATTTACAGATACGCAGCTTCTTGGAAGAAGCTTTGAATTCATCTGCACGTCTGCTGTTGGACGCATATTTTATTGAAAAAAAAAGAACGGATAACTGTGTCAGCGAGCGGTCTTTGGTGTTTCATTCACAGAAATATATATTCTCGAGGCAAGGATTTAGTGCTTCTAGCTGGTTTATCTGCTTTTCGTATTTTTTTTTCGATTGTTACCTTGTTGGGTGGTGGCGCTACACACATCGCTTGTTGAACGCTTGTCCACATGCGCACCTTTGTTAATTATTGCCTTCGCGTATTTTTTGTACGTATGTAAGAGGGTCATTTAGAAGCAATATAGAGTTGGCAGTGAGCGCTGAGTGTCGTGTGTTTTACTCGGGTGGATGGGTGAGTGTTTGCGGGAGTCAAGGTTGCGTTAATGAAGGTGCAGCTGTGTTTGCGCAGATCAGCTGGCGCAGCAGCACATCGTGGTAGTGAACTTCGGCCGCGTCTGCCGCCGTGCACACGATACCTTTAATTCTCTACAGGACGTCGACAAGGTGTCCCTTCTGCAAGGCATACTCCCATGGAGGTTCATTGCGCCGCATGCTAGAACACCAAGCATGTGACTGTTGGGGGCGGCTGTTATTGTTTCTGTCTTTCTGAGCATGGTTCGGGAATAGAATGTTACATCCTTTCCTAAGGTAACAGATAAACCGAAATCAAGGTAATAAGCTTAAGGTAATAAGCTTTAAGCAAATAAAATAAGTAAGTATATTTTTTCATGGTAATGATTTAGGTAAGCTTGCAGACTCAGCCAACAACATTCTTAACGTCATCTTCGTATGGAGTACTGCAAATTATTTAATGATCAACACAAAAAAAATCGCCCCGCCGTGGTGGTCTAGTGGCTAAGGTACTCGGCTGCTGACCCGCAGGTCGCGGGTTCGAATCCCGGCTGCGGCGGCTGCATTTCCGATGGAGGCGGAAATGTTGTAGGCCCGTGTGCTCAGATTTGGGTGCACGTTAAAGAACCCCAGGTGGTCGAAATTTCCGGAGCCCTCCACTACGGCGTCTCTCATAGTCATATGGTGGTTTTGGGACGTTAAACCCCACAAATCAATCAATCAACACAAAAAAATCCAAAGCTGTGGTATTCGCACCGGATCAGAAGGCTGTCTGTCGTGGTTTGGATATATATCTCGGGCCCGAAAAAATTGAGGTTGTCAAAGAAGTTTCATCATTAGGAGTAATTTTTAATGAAAATCTTAATTGGGACGAACACGTTAATAAAGTAACTAGAAATATAGCTAGGACGTGTGGTGCTCTCTCTAAACTTCGACAGATATTTCCAGCAAACATTAAACTTTTACTCTATAATACGTTGTTTTCATCTCGCATAAACTATTGTAGTCTAGTGTGGGCAGATACATCTAAAGCAAATCGCAACAAAATATTTTACTGCAGAAAAAAGCGATTCGTCATATTGCAAACGTACCATACGACGCACATACAAGTCATTTATTTAGAGAATATAAGATTTTACCGATCGATCACATACACAGTTTCAACCTTATTATGAAATACAAACAAAGCTTGCTATCAAACAACGCTTGTTTTCTTAAACTGTGTAACCTCAGAAAAAATACACAATCCTATTATGGCATTCGGAAAAGGCCTTCCTGGTTCGTTCCTTATTCGCGAACTAATCACGGTTTGAGAAGACTTGAACACTGTATTCCAGCTTGTTTTAACATGTTTGAAAACAAAAACATCGACATCGTTAATATACATAAAAAACAACTTAAGAACCTTCTCATCCAAAATGGCGGCGTGTAGTTTAGCTACTTCTAGTTGTCCGGCTACAATACTATATGTAAAAGAAACACCCTATAATAGTGCTCGTGTGTAACATGGCATCCTATGATGTTTGCTTTCTTTGACATTTTTTTCGTTGCTTTTTTTACGAGTAAAACATGCAACATTTCACTCGTCAGTGTTTCCCTTGTGCATTAAAACTTGTGCTTTTCGCATACCCAGTGTTGTAAACGTTGTATAATCATTTTGTAATACTTTGGTAGCCGTTTAGCAACGTGTGCATTGTTTCATGATTGACCGCACGCTGTTTTCTTTTGTTTTTTGTTGTTTTTCTCTCTTTGTGGTTTGCTTATTTTATGTAAACCTGAAACTGATGTAATTTTGATGCATTTTCTTTTTATTTCCTAACTCCTTGAAGTTTTGAAAATCGACGTCAAATTGTTTTTTCATGTTTTGTGCTCTGCGGATTTTTGTAATGCCATGTGAAAAGGGGTAGGAGACATGGTTCGAAATAGAATGTTACGTCATTTCTTAAGGTAACAGATAAACCGAGATCAAGGTAATAAGCTTTAAGCAAATAAAATGCGGTACGCACAGGTGGTCTATATGCGAACTGGCAAACTGCAAATTCACGGAGGACGTTATCAACGGAATGGCTTAACACTCAGTGTCTATAGCTGATCACCTTATCCAGTAAGTGACGAACGTGCAGTCTCCCATGATGCACTCAAAGCATTTGTTGGCGTACTTCACACGAGTTCGTACGCATAGGCAAACGCGGGAATCTTCATCGGGAAGAGCCAATTGTCACAGTGTCACCACAGTCCCCACCCCCGAAACCACAATGGACGTCTCAAAAAGAATAAGTATCACAAAGGATGCAAACGTGAAAATTAAGCGGTGCAGGAGCATTATGGTAAAAAAAAAAAAACCTGCTTGTCAATAACCCATGCGCATTACAATATGACCGGAAAGGTCTGACTAAGTTAAGATATGGGACCGAATTGGCGCTACCCTTAAATCATTTTGTGGGAGGGGAGCATCCCTGCCCGCTCTGTGCGCGCGCCCATTTTCACACATGTGAGTATTATGTAATGAGCAGCGATGTGCTAAATTTGTGTGCGCGCGCGAATATTGTTTGCAGGGTGGTTAACGTGAGCAGTCTGGCTGGAATGCTTCAGAAAATTCCCGGAGAAGAACTCAAGCAGAAATTGAACAACCCCGAGATAACTCTGGAAGAGCTCTGCGGCCTCATGGACGACTTTGTACAGTGAGCAGCCTGCTATAGTCTTAGCTGCAGAGTTTTTCTTATGCGCTATCTGACTGACTGTACATTCATTGTGTGCCGTTATTTTGTGTCACAAAATAGATCCGCTAAGGACGGGAAGAATGTCGAGAAAGGTTGGGGGCGCTCGGCTTACATTGTGTCCAAGGTTGGAGTCACTGTGTTGACCTTCATCCAGCAGCGTGAATTCAACGCTGACCCTCGTGAGGACCTGGTTGTGAACGCCGTAAGTAGGAAGATTCAATTTTGTGATGTGGCTCTTTATATCGAAGCGTTCAGAAGTGATGCGACATGGATATTTACGCCATACAAGGGCACAGCGCACGCAACGTTCACACGCACGCACCCTCGCTTGCTTGCACTGGTGTTCGTGGAAATTTGCCTTTTATACGTCTGCAGTTGTCAATGAAATTAGCCAGAGCATTTGGCCTGCTCGTGCATCAGGAACTCGTTTTTTTTACACACTTGCGATGTTGTATATGTTACATGAAGTCCAGGCATGCAGGTCGATTAATTTTAAGGATGTTCAAGAAGGTTGTAGTTGCCCCAGTAGACGGCAAATATTTTAACTGTACACTGATATCTGAACTTATTTTTTGTTTTTTTTAACGAAGGTGCATCCAGGATTTGTGGACACTGACATGACAAGCCACAAAGGTCCTTTAACACCTGAACAAGGTGAGAGTTTATGTGCATTCCCTGCTCTCTTTTTCTTCAACTTCATTAGGTAGTGTTCCGCTTCCATTTCCGATTCTTGGGTTGCTTGAAGCTCGTTTGCCTACCTGTACACATAGTAGGCAGGGCTGGCCAGTAGTAAGGCTTAATTTCTTCAGAAGTGGCGACAAGTTGTGACCATATACGTAGACGCAGCGCCGTTGACTTTTAATTCACTGTGTCTTCCGAGGTATTCTTAAATGCGAAGTATTTCTTAGCGAACCAAAGGCAGTTTGATAGTATCTAGATAAGTGGGTATGCGCCAGAGGTTGTCACAGACTGTGTATAGGAACCCAGGTTTTGGAAATCTTAACGCGGCAGCGTGAAGAAGGAGCAAATGTCCCAGAAAATTTGATGCCGTTGTCGGTGGTTTTGTCCCTCCTAATAACCTAAAAACGGGGGGGGGGGACTTATAGAAGAAGAGGGGGCGCAGCGACAAACCCCCTTCCTCCCGGTGTGGAGCCCTGCTCCCGCCTATGGAAGGCGATGCGCACGATGTCCGATTAGGCTAGCTATGAGTTCTATACTCTTGAAGGCAATGCCGAAGCGTCCTCCAAGTGAGCTAAACATATGACTCCTCAAGTTATAGTCAAGTATTGAACGGATACGTCTACGACTACCAATTATGATGTGCACGTCACGCACCGTAGTATACATTTCGCGGCGATAAAAAGCGACATTTCTGCTCGAACGTGGGTTGCCGACGTTACAAAGGGTCATGAGCAACTCCTTACTCGCCAGCCTGCTCGCCGTGCCTAGTAAGCTCACAATATATGCTCACAAATGCTGAATTTACACAGATACACCGATGCACTCGTGACGCCCGTCTCGAAGCAAAAAAAGCACAGCATATCCACGGATTGAATAATGATGATGCATCATTTCATCCGTGTACGCCAGGCGTAAGCGGTCACACATGCCACAGGAGCGAAAGAAAGACACGCCTGAACGATAACCGATGCCAGCCAGGAACGCGAGCCGTGGCTTCACGTGCCACGGCCTAGCGCCTTCTTTATTTTCTTCTGTCGCCATCGCGCGCTCTCCGGTTTGCGCGCCGCCCGAACGAGGGCGCTACAGGGCCCCCCGTGTAGACTGGAAGTCGGAATGTGACATGCCGTTTGTGGTGTTCCAACAGAAGATCAGTCGTAGATGAGAGGCTTTCTAGGGCGGTCTCCAGGTACGCCGGCTTGAGTCGGTCCAAGCTGACTGTCTCTTCACGGCCGTTCTGAAGTAGAGTGGCAGTTTTGGGGGTGCGGTGAAGGACGCGGAATGGTCCGTCGTAGGCTGGTGTCAAAGGTGGTCTGACCGCGTCGTGGCGCACGAAAACATGTGTTGCAGTGGCCAGATCAGGGTGGACGAATATGGTCTTGTGTTCGGAAGGTCTGGGTACAGTGGGCCGGAGGTCTTGAACGCAGTCGAGGAGGCGTTGTAGGAATTGCTGTGGCTGGTCTGGTAGCTTCGTTGACGTGAAGAAGTCTCCCGGAAGCCGTAGAGAAGTGCCATACACCAGCTCTGCTGTTGAGCACTGCAGGTCTGCCCGGATGACAGCTCGTAAACCTAAGAGCACCAGTGGCAAGGCATCAACCCAGGTGGCTCTATTGAGGCAAGTAGTCAAGGCGGTCTTCAGTTGTCGGTGAAGGCGTTCCACCATGCCGTTGGCGCAGGGATGATAAGCCGTGGTACGGCAATGTCTGGCTTCGAGGATGCGATTAAGGCAAGTAAACAGCGAGGACTCAAACTGACGTCCACGGTCTGTTGTCACGGTGCCAGGACAGCCAAAACGGGATACCCACGCAGAAATGAAAACGCGGGCAACTGTCTCGGCTGTGATATCTTGAATTGGAACAGCCTCTGGCCAGCATGTGAAGCGATCGACCATGGTCAATATATAACGGTACCCCTGAGACACTGGTAGAGGGCCCACAATGTACAGATGAACATGGTCGAAACGACGGCCGGGTGGAAGGAAAGGTTGGGGCGGCGTCTTAGTATGACGGGAGACCTTTGTCATCTGGCAGGGCAGGCACATGCGCGTCCAAGCGCGCACATCACCGTTGATTCCGGGCCAGACATAGCGCTGGGTGAGAAGACGCTGAGTAGCCCGAATGCCAGGGTGACAGATGTCGTGTAAGGAGTGGAAAACGGTGCGTCGTAATGAAGCGGGAACGAAAGGGCAAGGAAGGTCAGCTGAGACATCGCACCACAAGCGCTCAGATGATAATGGATGAGGCACCAGGCGTAGTCGGAGAGAACGGGGGTTCTCCCGAAAAGCGGCAAGCTCTCTATCATCCTGCTGTGCCGAGGAGAATGAGGCCCAGTCGATGGTTGGCGGTGGAGAGTCAACCGCGGGTATACGAGAAAGGGCATCTGCGGCGGTGTTGTCAGCTCCTTTCACGTGGCGGATGTCAGTCGTGAACTCCGATATATAAGCCAGATGGCGGAGTTCACGGGGCACGTACTTGGATGAGTTAGTGCGGAAAACATACGCCAGTGGCTTATGGTCAGTCAGCGCGTAAAACGAGCATCCTTCCAGGAAATGCCGAAAGTGCTGTATTTCAGCGTAGATGGCTAGTAGTTCCCGGCCAAAGACGCTGTAGCGGGTCTCAGCAGGAAGTAGCTTCCGAGAGTAAAACGACAAGGGTCTCCACTCGGAGTTAATGCACTGCTGTAAGACGGCTCCGACGGCCACGCTGGATGCGTCCACCATCAACCGAGTAGGGGCGTTGCTGCGTGGATGAATAAGAAGCACGGCGTTAGCGACCGCTTGCTTAGCAGCAGCAAAGGCGGCCTGGGCCTCTGACGACCAAGGAATGGCGGAGGACGGGCCGGCGGTCGACCGAAGGAGGTCGGTGAGCGGTCGTAGCAGTTCGGCACAGTGTGGTATGAAGCGCCTGGAAAAATTCACAAGCCCCAGGAATTGGCGTAATTGGTGCAGTGTTGTAGGCTGAGGATAATCCTGAATCGCTTTAACGTGGGACCGGAGAGGGCGTATTCCTTTGGATGATATGTGATGGCCCAAGAACTCGAGCTCAGATGCGCCGAAAGTACACTTAGAGGCGTTCACAACGAGGCCGTACTGCTGAAGACGTTGGAACAGAGCGCGTAGATGGTGCTCATGATCTTCAGGTGTGCGGCTGGCGATGAGGACATCGTCAAGGTACGCAAACACAGTAGGAAGACCCCGTGTGACCTCAGAAATGAACCGCTGGAAAGTTTGAGCCGAATTGCGGAGTCCAAAAGGCATCCGCACGTATTCAAACAACCCAAAGGGCGTCGTGATGGCGGTCTTAGGTATGTCGGCGGGCTCGACAGGAATCTGGTGGTACGCCTTAACAAGGTCCACTTTGCTGAAAATTGTGCAGCTGTCGAGGCGCGATGTAAAATCCTGGATGTGAGGTAGAGGATAGCTGTCGTGGACAGTCTTGGCGTTCAACGCTCGATAGTCCCCACAAGGACGCCAGTCACCAGGATCACGCTTTGGCACCAAATGCAGCGGGGAAGCCCAAGCGCTTGACGACGGGCGGATAATGCCGAGCTGCAGCATGTGGTCAAACTCCCGTTTAGCAATAGCTAGGCGGTCTCCGCACAGGCGGCGTGGTCGAGCGGCTGCCGGTGGACCCCGGGTGACGATGTGGTGTGTCACCGTATGTTTAGGCGGCTGAGTGAGGTTGCACGGTTTAGTTAACTCCGGAAAACTCGCCAAGATTTTTTCGAACGGTGAGGAAGGTATCAGCATGCGGATGGCCATTGGAGCGATGTCGGACAGGACTCCCGAGATGGAGAGACGAGTCTTACCATCTATGAGGCGGCGCCGCCGCACGCTGACGTCCAAATCGAAGTATGAGAGGAAGTCCGAGCCGATGATCGGTTGAACCACGTCTGCGATGACGAAAACCCACCGGAAAATGCAGCGAAGGCCGAAGTCGAGGGTGAGAGATCGGAGCCCATACGTTGCTATAGACGAGGCGTTGGCAGCACGAAGCACTTGCCCCTGTGACTTTGAACGATCAGCCTTAGTCGGGGGCACAACGCTAATTTCCGCGCCCGTATCTATAAGGAACCTGGCGCCCGATAGCTGGTCCGTGACCATGAAAAGGCGGCTGGGACGAGAAGGGAGATCACACGCCGCCGTCAGTGATCCCGGCAGGCGTTTCCCTGCCACGAACATGGGGGTGTACACTTCGTGGCTCGGTGTCGGAAACGCCGATGGTACCAGCAGAGGGGTGGAGGGCTGGGACTCCGAGCATCTCGTGTGCGTGGAAGAGCTCGACGACCGGAACGAGGCGAACGAGTCTCCTGCAGGGGGCTCCGGAGTGCGGCAATGGAGGTGGCGAGTTCGTCGATGTGGGCCTCAAGGCGCGAAATCGCTGTGTCTGCTGGTGGTAAGACAGCGTTGACAGATGGGGAGGTCGCTTCATGAACCTGATCGGCGAGCTCCGCCAGGCGGTCGAGATTGACGTCGCCGGCCGCCGCGAGGACGAGGCGGATTGGCTGAGAAAGGCGTTGGAGGAAGAGCTCGCGAAGCGACGCTGAGTGGGCAGAGACGTCGTGTTTCCCAAGAAGCTGTCGCATTCGGCGCAGTAGTTGGGAGGGGCGCCTGTCGCCAAGGTCCCCCTCTGCAAGGAGCTGCTGTAGGCGGACGCGTTCCGAAGGCATGAATCGTTCCAGCACCTTGGTTTTAAGGTGCTGGTATGGCGTAGTGTCCGAGGGGTTGGAGAGGACGTCGGAGAGCTCGCTGGCAACGTCAGGAGGAAGGACGGAGGCTACGTGGTAGTAGCGTGTCGTTTCCGAGGCGATGCGGTAAAGGGAGAATTGCGCCTCGACCTGATGAAACCAAACTTGCGGGTCCTGTGGCCAGAAAGATGGGAGACGCAGTTGCACGGCCGAGACGTCCTGCGGACGTGAGGCTTGTTCGGTTGCGGGTGCATTCGAGTCAGTCATTGTCTTCGTCCGGGTCACCACTTGTAGGCTTATGCCACAGGAGCGAAAGAGAAACACGCCTGAACGATAACCGATGCCAGCCAGGAACGCGAGCCGTGGCTTCACGTGCCACGGCCTAGCGCCTTCTTTATTTTCTTCTGTCGCCATCGCGCGCTCTCCGGTTTGCGCGCCGCCCGAACGAGGGCGCTACAATGGCTTTGGTAAGCTGTACTATAATTGTGCCGTTATCTATTATGCGTATTAATTATCAGCAGTCAAACACAATGCCCTAATACTGTCTTACAGGTCTTCGACTGCATTATAATTCTGCCCCTTGAGACTATCAAGCAGGTGAATATAACCTGCCCTTCAATGATCCAAGGATGGAAATACCGTTCCACAAACTATAGCACAATTGTCCCCATTTGACGCTTCAGTGGCTGTACACAGCAGTATTACTTAAAAAATTGACAAACATTTGTATGAAATGCATTTTTCGCTGCTTAAAAAAAAAAGCCCACTGGAACCTCGCGCTGACGTGCTATGCAGTGAAGGCGAGGCAATGGCAAGCTTCATGCCACATTGTGGTTGTTTCTCCCTTAAAACAAAATCTACTTTTTTGACACTTTCTGCATGTCTCACTGACAAACAATGCTATGCAAAAATACATAAGTCGTATTATTTACTTGGACCAATACACTGCGAAAATTATGCCGCGATATGAGTCAAAACGTTACTATCCCCAACAATATTCTGGCAAAGTTTGTATTTCATTCACTCCCGAAATAGTTAGATCTGATAATATAAGAGGCTATACAACAGCAAATGTGAATGCATTACTCGCGAAACAATTCGTGCTTTTTATATTAAACACTAAACTAAACATGTTGCATATTGCAATTTATCACCAAGGCAAAATCATTTTAACTTTCTTTATGATAAAGAAAGTTAAAACAAAAATGAATGAACTATCATAGTCAAGAAAGTGTAGCACCTTGAGATTAAGGAAGAAACTGTTTTGCGGTAATTGCTCATACCAATATTATCACATAAATTATTTAGCGCGACCCAATTTCACTTGAGCCCCACCACGGTGGTCTAGTGGCTAAGGTACTCGGCTGCTGACCCGCAGGTCGCGGGATCAAATCCCGGCTGTGGCGGCTGCATTTCCGATGGAGGCGGAAATGTTGTAGGCCCGTGTGCTCAGATTTGGGTGCACGTTAAAGAACCCCAAGTGGTCAAAATTTCCGGAGCCCTCCACTATATACGGCGTCCCTCATAATCAAATGGTGGTTTTGGGACGTTAAACCCCACAAATCAATCAACAATTTCACTTGATGGCCCAAAGTTTGAAGCGCCCTCCAGGCAACACAAGATTCTTTTTTTTTTGCGAAATATAACGCCTCATTAACTACTTCTCACATTCATATATACCTGCACAATTTTTATTCAGCATGATCGGAGATGCTCGAAAATTAACCGGGTACACTTGATATGAAATGATCCATATATACGTGCACATACATAATTACATGCATACATACATGCATACATGCAGACATGCATACATGCATGCATGCATACATGCATACATGCATGCATACCTAGCTGTTTTCACGTTAACGGGTAAAATCTACTCACTCGTCAATGCAGGTGCCGATGCTGCAACCTACTTGGCTCTTCTGCCTCCGAACATCCAGTCACCCAAAGGAGAGTTTGTCTGGCACGATCGCGCAATTACTCCGTGGGACAAGTAACCAAAGAAGCACACAAATCACTGCCACTCGTTTTGTATAACCTGGTGCTTCTAGCACCCCCCCCCCCCCCCCCAGAAAGCATCTAAAGCTAGCAAGAGCGTGCACACAATTACAAACTACCTGTATCGTTCCCTTGGAAATAAACGTTGATCTGAATAATTTTCGCACAGAGTGTCGTTTGATGATAATGATGATCCTTGTAATACTGGCGCACACCCACAAAGGGGGATCGGCCAGGAACCTGGTGGCAGGATCTTTAGGTTATTTCGCGGTGACAGACAGTGAGCCGGCACGCACCTACTGTGTCTTCTGCTTCATTTTGGGCTTCGCTCAGAACACGTGTGCCCAACTGTGTACGCCGTGGGATGTAATAACTCTGATGCATGAGATATCGAGGACAGAGAGAGAGAGTAAAAAATAAATAAAAAGAAAAAAGAAGAAACTCTTGGTGAAAAAAAAAAAATTCGTGACGAGGTTGGACTCGAGCCCGCGTACTGACAACCCGAAGGTGAGCATCGTAACCCCTCGATCAGCTTTATTCAGGCAAGCAGCAGAGCAAGACATAGCCTTGCATAGTATAAGTATAGCAGTCGGGTTGGGAAAGGCATGTGAGGGTGAGGAGTAGGGAAGGGAGGAGGAGAGAGGGTAACGCATAGCATGAGAATAAAAGAGAAAAGAAATAAAAACAATGATAAAGACAGAGAGAGATTAAAAAAGAAATATAAGACAGAAAGAGATAGATTATAAAGACGACGATGATGAAGTAAATGATGAATACATATTCAACACTGAAAATGTCTCACTAGCTCATATAATCGATTCTCGGCCGATCCCCCCCAGTTGGTATGAGCCATGTTCGAGAGTCATCGTCATCATCATCAGAGAGCGCTAGCCGGTTCGAGATAATGATAGTTTTCCGTTCGCAATACACACTACTGGCGGCTCAAACTTTTCCGCTGTGGAGACAGCATCCGAGGTAAGTTTCTTCTGCGTACAGACTCGCGCGGAAGCTTTCGTCCTGCGACGGCCTTTAAGATTTTGGTGAGTGTCTGTATGAGCTCTGTGATCTAAACGAGATGGTGGTCGGCTATAACAATGTGGACTGACAGTTTCCTCGGAAGCAGCCGTATTTGTTTATTCTGGTTTACACTTCCTCCCAATTGCCGACGCATTCACGGAAGAAACATCTGTTTGTATGATATGACCAGGCCTCTTAGTGCCTTAGTGACCAGTGTTATGCCAGCGAGTCCTCGTCAAACGACCGTGCCTCTGAAAAAAGGCAATCTGGGTCAAGGCCAGCCCGCAGTCTGCCTGGCGCGATCACCTCGACGGCGTGAACACGCGCGGCGCTCCTCTGGCCCACGTGCAGTGAGTCAGTTGCGCACGTGACAGCGAGCCGGCGTCCTCGTGTCAGGTGGTCTGACGCATGGCGCGGCGGCCCCATTGGCGGAATCTGCCCTGACGACCAGCGGCGCTTCTGATTGGACATTTTGGTTGGACCCGGTGTAAATAAAAGAAGCCCTGCGGCGCGTCGCGATCGGCGTTCCTATGAGCGAGGAGACCCCATGTCGGAGGGCCGACATGTATGCGAGTCAGCGGTCTTAGGCGAAAGGCTGACCTATGTGTTAGAGAGGAGAGCTCGGCTCTTCGAGTCTCTGTCGGCCCCAGTGCCGAAATTGTAACGCCTCTGTAAATATGCTGTACATAACCTTGTTTAACTCACCGTCGTCTCGTCCGCTCGTCTTATCAGCTCTGCGCAGAAGCAGTCGCGAGCTGATAAACATACGCTACCAAACGGCTGGTGACCTTCCCGGCGGAGTTGGAAGCAGTGGCGCCATCGGGACCGTGTTGGCGTCGCCGTCTTTCGCAACAGTGGTGGCTTCGGCGGGATCGGTCCGTCTTTCTCAACAGTGGAGGTCAGCGGTGGGGTCACGGAGGCAGATTCGCAACAGTGGTTGGCAGCTGCGGGATCGGCCGGCGTCAGCGACATCGATGCGGTGAGTGCCTGATGTTTTCCCCTCAGTTCACCAGACTGCTCTAGCTCAGGTTGTAGTAGTTTAGAGAAGGGCTGTGTGAAGCATTAGAGTGAGCTTTGATCGTTTCAAGCAAAGTCGAAGTGCTTTGAAACCAAAGTTAATGCGGAGGGGGTAAACACGGGAGAGTGAAAAATTGCTTGCGCGTCTTGCTAGTTGACTTATAGTGGGTACGGCAAGTAAATTGTTAACAGGGGCAAACAGCAAGAGGCTAGTGTGAACGATGGAGAACCTTAAGGTGAAGGAACTCATCGAAATTTGTGAGGAACTCGGCATTACTTTGGGCCGTGCGAAACGAAAGCAAGCGATCCTTGAGATCATGAAGGATGAGGGAGTGTCGGCTGAGGAAGTCGATGAGGCCTGGGTGGATATTAAAGCACGCCGTGAGGAGGCTGAAAGGCGAGAAGTAGAAGCTCGCGAAGAAGCTGAAAGGCGCGAACGTCGCGAGGAGGCCGAGAGACAGGAGCGCCTTGAGATGAAACGACTAGAATTGGCAATCCTACAGTGTTCGCAGGCGCCTAGCGTAGCTTCTCCGACGATTCAGGTCAGCGGTTTTAGAATTCGTGACCAACTGCCACCGTTCGTAGTAGGCGAGGACATGGCGAAGTATCTCGTCAAGTTTGAACACGTCTGTGAGCGAAACGCTTTGGAGCGGTCTCTTTGGGCGCGGAACCTGCTAGCTCTTCTTCCCGGCGAAGTGTCCGACGCGATAACTTGCTTGTCGAGGGAAGCGTTTGAGAGCTATGACGAGGTTAAAGAAGTGCTCTTGAGACGTTATAAGTTGTCACCCGAGGCTTTCAGGCAAAGGTTCCGGTATGCTGAAAAGGGGAATGAGTCACACGTTGACTTCGCGTTTCGTCTTAAGGCCGATTTAATTGAATGGCTCAAGGGCGAAGGTGTTTATGACGACCGCGATAGAGTGGTGGAATGCGTTGCATTGGAGCAATTCTACCGCTGCATCGAGGATGATGTCAAACTTTGGCTGCAGGACAGACTTGGGGAAGTACAGTTAAATAAGGCAGCTGAGTTAGCTGAGGAGTATTATACTCGCCGAAAGTTGCATAGCAGGGCAGTGCGCGTTGAAAAGGATGAAAGAAAAGAGGGCTTTTCAAAGAAACCTGATCAACGGAGACCCGCTCCGCATCGTAATTTCAAGAAGGACCCGTCTCTTACGAAGGACAGTGTAGGGGAAGGGCAAACAGAAGCGGAGAAATCGAGTGAGGTTTCTACCACACAGGCATCTGAATCGGAAAACAAACGGAAGCCGCTAATATGCTACAACTGTAAAAAGGAAGGGCACATCGCGAGAAACTGTCAGGAAAAGTTTGCCTTCGCAACGATCCGAGAATCAGAAAAAAACATGCGGTTGTTGGAGCCGTATCTCCAAGAAATTAGGGTGAATGAGAAAACGTGCCGAGCACTTAGAGACTCAGCGGCAACCATGGACGTTGTCCATCCTTCATTGGTGTCTCCGGATGACTTCACAGGAGAATGCGCATGGATTAGGCAAGTCGCCGAGGTGCAGAGTGTTCGCTTACCAATCGCCACGGTTGTCATTGAAGGCTCGTTCGGTAAGCTTTGCACCGAAGCAGCTGTGTCTGCCGCGCTAAATGATCGTTTTCCTTATCTTTTCTCCAACAACTCGGAGCAGCTTCTCAAAGAGCAGGGCAAATCGTTCTTCCCCAACTTAGCGTGCATGGCTCTCACGCGATCGCAAGCGCGAAAGCTTTCGCGGAAGCTTGACTTGGTTCCATGCGGTGAACTCTCAAGTGACCTTGTCGGCGGGTCGACGGAACCCCAGAAAGGAAATTTTCCGCATGAGTCATGTGAGCAGTCACGCGAGCGGCCCGTCGCGGGAGCGGCCGGCGCGGTATGCGCTGGGGGAGACGACGTGGCGCCATTGAGTCAGAGCGAGAGGGTTGCAACGCTCTCGCCTGTAGCGGAAAGTTGGAGCGAGCTGCCGAGAGTTGATCGAGAGACGCTCATTCGAGAGCAGCGTGTGGACCTCTCGATTGAAGCGCTAGTGGAAAGCCAGGTTGAAACGCTAAGTGGAAAGCAGCGTGTGGACCTCTCGATTGAAGCGCTAGTGGAGAGCCAGAAAAACGCGGCAAAAGTGCTGTCGAAGGAGCACTACGAGGAATCGGGGAAGAAGAGTGCTTTTGAAGTTGATAATCAGGTAACGCTGCTGCAGCCGTCCAAGAGGAACCAGCTTGAGGTTGATTGGGAAGGGCCCGCAAGAGTAGTATCGAAGCTTTCTGATACCAATTGTGAAGAGAAATTAGGAAGGCGGCCGAACAAAATTTATCACAGTAACTTGAAAGCAGTCGTAAATTTACTTTTAGGTGCTTCAGAGGAAGAGGAAGCAGAAAATTTGAGTTCTAGTGAAGTGATCGAAGGGGGATCGAAAGTAATCCGGGAGCAGATAAACCTAGAGCCTAGCTTAAGTGAAGGAGGACCTGAGAAAGAGGACCTGAGAAAGATTGTTTCCGAGTTTGGGTACGTGTTGTCGGACCGTCCCGGAGACACGACGGTGATCGAACACGATATCGAGCTAAGCGGTGAGGAGTTAATCAGTAGCAAGCCGTATCGTTGTTCCCCTGTGCAACGTCGAAAGTGTGAGCCGCTTTTGGTGCCGCATAGGTATCGTCGCCTAAAAGTGGCCGGTTACTGGAGTGGAGCATGTTGCTCCACAGCGCAACTTTGACGTTCGCTAAAGAAAAAAAGAAAAGGTAAACGCTAATGCAGGTGCATGGAGCAGTGCGTTTAGTTAGTACCTTCTCAACCTTTCGGTTTCTGGCTGGCGATTCGGGGCAAAATTTTGACCTCATCACGACCTGGGCTGAGCGCTCTCGTTCAGAGTGATCTCAAGGGGCCAACTTTGTGGTATTCTAATTCGTTACGTTGTTGTACGTGGGAAAAAAATTGAGTTGTCATTTTAAGAGTCTTGTGTCCCACATGTGCCTCTTTATGTAGAGGGAACAAAATTCCGATAGACACGTAGATAGGTATATGTTGTACTATACTTTGTCTGGTGTTCTGTCGGGTGACCGAGGGCACTTGCGTGTGTCGTGTGTTGTCTGTTGTCGATCCGTTCTTGGCAAGTTGCAGAACCATCGACAAGTGCTGAAACCGAAGATGGTCAGAAGAGACGAGTGAAGCTGGTCGACAAGTTGTGGCGACAAGCCAGTGGAGCTGGGATCCGTCGTCAAAAATGGGATGTGTTCCCGGAACAGTCTGAAGCTGTATTCTCCCCATGGCCCTGGAGGCGAACCTGGAGGGACCTGGCGAACGAGCGCACCTGACATCCGAGCCCCGTGGAAGCAGCTCGTCTTTCCGGTGCATTGTCTGGCGGCGGGGGTGCTGTTATGCCAGCGAGTCCTCGTCAAACGACCGTGCCTCTGAAAAAGGCAATCTGGGTCAAGGCCAGCCCGCAGTCTGCCTGGCGCGATCACCTCGACGGCGTGAACACGCGCGGCGCTCCTCTGGCCCACGTGCAGTGAGTCAGTTGCGCACGTGACAGCGAGCCGGCGTCCTCGTGTCAGGTGGTCTGACGCATGGCGCGGCGGCCCCATTGGCGGAATCTGCCCTGACGACCAGCGGCGCTTCTGGTTGGACATTTTGGTTGGACCCGGTGTAAATAAAAGAAGCCCTGCGGCGCGTCGCGATCGGCGTTCCTATGAGCGAGGAGACCCCATGTCGGAGGGCCGACATGTATGCGAGTCAGCGATCTTAGGCGAAAGGCTGACCTATGTGTTAGAGAGGAGAGCTCGGCTCTTCGAGTCTCTGTCGGCCCCAGTGCCGAAATTGTAACGCCTCTGTAAATATGCTGTACATAAACCTTGTTTAACTCACCGTCGTCTCGTCCGCTCGTCTTATCAGCTCTGCGCAGAAGCAGTCGCGAGCTGATAAACATACGCTACCAAACGGCTGGTGACCTTCCCGGCGGAGTTGGAAGCAGTGGCGCCATCGGGACCGTGTTGGCGTCGCCGTCTTTCGCAACAGTGGTGGCTTCGGCGGGATCGGTCCGTCTTTCTCAACAGTGGAGGTCAGCGGTGGGGTCACGGAGGCAGATTCGCAACACCAGGCCTTGTGCGCCTCTTAGTGAAATTACTTTATCACGCGTGCTCTTTCTTTCTTTCTTTCTTTCTTTCTTTCTTTCTTTCTTTCTTTCTTTCTTTCTTTCTTTCTTTCTTTCTTTCTAAGTAAGCTGTCCTTTAAAACGTAAGCTGTTTGAAAGGACTGGGAAAGACCCCCCCCCCCCCTGCTTTACTGTATGGCTATGTCATGTTTTGTCCTCCCCTCCTCACCCTCACTTCCTTCTTGCTATACTATACTATGTCTGAATATGGCCCTCTTTATCCTTTACCTCACATCCCTCCTCCTCGCCTTTCCTATACTGTATACGTGGTACAGATGGCTATGTATGCTTTGCCCTCACCTTCCTCCTTTCTTCATCGCACTCGCATCTCTCCTCTTGACCATCGCTTCCCTTTTCCACCGGTCTGCTGTAGTATACTAGACACGATTATGATATACTTGATCCTTCCCTCCTTTCTCTTCTTGCTATACTGTACTGTCACGACTATGCTATATGCTTTACCCTCCTCACTCTCACTTTTCTTTCTCACCCATATGCTACACTATATGGCTAAGCTGTGCTTTACATATATCTTCATTCTCCTCATCTTCACAGCATTCCTTGTTCTGCTAAACCATCCCCCCTCCTTCTTTTCTTTGCAATGTCCTCCCACTTGCTTCCCCGACTATCTTACTATGCAGCTCTATATACGGCTTTTCTATACATGGTTTCGACTGTGCGACGTCATGCGTCGCTATGCTATGCTGTATACCCACTACCTTGATTCTTTCGATCCTCTTCTTCCGCACTTCCCTGCCCCACTCACTTGCTATACATAGCTATGCTACACGTGGTTTCGCTTTCGTGACACCGAGAGACGACACAAGATGACAGCATACAAACACCGTTCCTTCTCGCGCTCCATTCCTCCTTTTCCTCACCCTCACTTCGCATCTCCCCAGCCTCTTTCCTTTTCTACACCCTTTCTATAAATAGCTATGCAATGGTTCTGCCTGCGTGACGCCAAGCAACATGAGACGACGGCGACAGCATACGACAGCCCGAGCACCAAAAGCACCCCCTACTTGAAAAAATCGCAGCGTATCCGTGGAGTGAATGATGATGAGTGGAGCGAAGCTGTCAACCATCCGGGAGTATCGCCCACTACATCATCATACACGTGACAAGCACTCCATATATTTATGCAAGAAATTTTATTATTGGTAAGTGGTAGCTCGTCGCTTCCGTTCCCCCTTCACTACAACGGCTTTACGGTCGCTGAAGTAGTGGATCGGTGATGGGTTGTAGTGGGATGCTTGCGAGGACGAAGTAGTGGGCAGTTTGCAAAGGTGGAACTATAGGCGGTCACGTACAAACACGAGATGAACACAGTGGGAAAATCTGTGGTTCTTTAACGCGCACCTGGATACAAGTACACGACCATCTTGCATTTCATACTGGCTGGATCTCAACAGTATTGGCTTTATGGTCACTGAAGTGGTGGATCGGTGATGGGGTGTAGTGGGATGTTTACGAGGTGGCTACATACACCAACAGAGGAAGGACAGACCCACACCCTGAGGAGCTTCGGCCCTAAAAATTGGCTGAGGTATTAACTCTCGTAAACCCAATTATTACGAGTGACGAAAGGTAAGTTCGGCTCGCTTTTGCAAACACTATATGCCCACGGTGTTTTATTAAAACCTTTCCCTGGTTACGTAGTACCCTAGTAGCGAGGCTTCTAGCTACCGCAGCAGATTACGTGGCGTGACGGCACGCCTGCCGCACTTGCACCCCGGCAGCTCAAGGCCATTGTGATGCGACCTTTTGCTTAGTAGAGCTTTTGCTCGAATAAGGAACATCATCATAATCACCAGCAGCAGATCTACTGCGTCCACTGCAGGACAAAGACCTCTCCCGTGCTCCGCCAGTCAACTCGGTCCTGTGCTTGCTGCGGCCGCTCCGCAAACTTCCTAATCTCACCTGCCCACCCAACCTTTTGTCTCCCCTTCAACCGCTTGCCTTCTCTTGGTATCCAGTCTGTGATCCTCAATGACCAGCGCTGTTATCTTGCCTTCGTGCTAGATGCTCAGCCCATGACTATTTGGCCTTCTTGATTTCAACTATGATGCGTTTAACACCCGTTTGTTCCCTGATACACATCTGCACTCTTCTTGTGCCTTATACATCTATCATTTCCCTTTCCATTGCTCGCTGCGTTGTACTCAACTCAAGTTGAACCCTCTCAAATCGAACTGGACCACAAACCTATTTGATTACAAAGAGGGTTCACGTTTCTCCCACTAAAGGGAACCACGAGCAGCATGCGAATCAGCGCATGGGTCGTCTTAAAGTTCCGTTCATCACGGGTACCTTTCCCGATCTTAACGCGTCCTCGCAAGTGAAGCACACCATGTAGTTTCTGTTGATGTTACTCGTCCCGAACTCTTGTTGGAGCACGCCACGCGGGTTTAACGCCACGCCAAGCGGGATCACGTGCATTCATCGCACGTCTGCACAATCTCGTTCCCCGACGCCATAAGGCATTGCTGAGAGAGTGTATGGGGGAGAGGCCCAGCCTCTTACATAACCACTTACGCAGGCTTGAACGCGATAGCGAGTTTTGGCAGTGCTTGGACCAGCTACTGCACATGCGCAGTACCGGTGGTGACGCCGCGCACCACCGGATTACAGTGGTGTAACCAGATTTAACTCCGCCATCGCATCTAAAAAGCGGTTGTAGCGACGTCAGCGGCTCAGCGCCGCTGCGAAAAAAACGCCGCCACTTGCAGCCACGTCCGGTCCCAGGTGCGCATTAACCCCTGGCGGCGGCAGCGCGAAGGACGCGTGCCACTCCCCCTGCGAAGCGGACAGCAGACGCGCAGCGAGCGGCTCAGTTCCATTTGTTGGGTGTCCCGTTTGTGGTTGCTGGGTCTTCTTGAACGAAATCGCCGTGTCATGTCGTCTCCTCGGGTCGCAGTGGTAAGAGAATACATTGTATCGACCATCTATGGACACCGCGTACTTATAATATGTTGGGGCACTTGTTTTACGAGTTGTTGAAAAGGTGCGCAGCCCGGAAAGCGTATACACGTGTACGGAACACGCCAGACTCGCGCCGGCCTTGGGAGACGTTGTTTGAGTCATTTGATTCATAGATTCTCCTTGAGCGCGCTTGCGTGTGGTCGCAAGCGTGGCGGGTGGTGCTGATATTGCGTCGACAGTTTATTCGCATAGAGATGATCAGACAAAAAAAAAAGTGTTACGTTCGTGTCATAGTGGCTGTCTCCCAGTGCGTATGTACTACGTCCGCTTTTCTGTGCAGGGGAGATAGCACGGAGACAGCAGTGGACTTTTCATATGGTTATCTGCCACTGTCCGTTAGGTGTCCACATCGACACTCAGATGTACCAACAGCTTTGCTTAATTTATTTGTGTATCGAATGTATCACTGTTTCAGAGATGTTTGTACATCCTAAGAATTTTTCTCCTTACATCGTATCATCATGCATAAAAACAACCCGTTGACACTGATATCAGTTAGAGGTAACATTTCCTTATAGCCAGTATGAGGCTGTGCGAACACACGAAAAATTTCTAACAACGTACTTCAATATTGTGCTGCATGCGAATACTCGAATCGAGAAGTCGGTTTCATTCTGTGCTGCGACTCGAATAGTAACTAGTGAAAATCGGACTCGGCTGCTGACCCGCAGGTTGCGGGATCGGATTCCCGTCCGCGAAGGCTGCAATTTCGATGGCAGGCGAAAATGTCATGTGCTCAGATTTGGGTGTTCCCCAGGTGGTCGAAATTTCGGGAGCCCTCCACGATGGCGTCTCTCATAATTAACGTGTGGTTTCGGTACTTGAAACCCCACATATCGATCAATAAATCAAATCAACGAGTGAAATTCCGATGCATCTCGAATAGTTTCCGAATACTTCACGACGTCCACTGTATACCATCAAACATATGAAACTGTATAACTGTGGTTCGCTTCACAAATAGCGCACCTAACAGTTTATCGAGTCACGTGTCACTCGGACAGCGAGAACTTTTGTGGCTAAACGCTATCATAACACGCAATGAAACACTAGTTAGACCCGCTATTCAGCAGAGCGTATTGCTTGGTACTATTTATCAATGTGGAACATGTGCCTTATCGTCGCTTTAAACATGAAAACGTTTCATCGCAATATAATTTGTACAGTAGCATGCACCATCTGCCTCGGCCGTACAAACCTACCCTAGTTTACGCAACTTTTTTTTTTGTACAATCGACGCTCACTTATGATGTGGTCGCGAACGTATACGCAGATATTAACTAGCCAACAACACTATGGCTTTCTGAGCATTATATAATTATATATACCCGCGTAATGTAGGCAGCGAGAATAATTGCAAAAATAAATGATTAAATAAAGACAGCTCCTACGGAAGTACTCTCCCATTGAACTTTGAATAAAGCAGGTTTTGTAACGTGCAGTTATGGCAGAATAAAAGGGATGTCTGTAGTACTCATTATAATCTGCTATTATATGATAAAAAATATTCCATTCTATTCTCATTTGGCACCGTTCGGTCCGCATTCAGTCGGCGTCTTGCACTTTCCGAATTTGTCATTCAGGTCAAGTTAAAGAAAAAAAATACTCGTCCCTGATAGTTAAACTGGGGCCTCGTGCACATCGCTGTTATACATCCATGTGTTAGTATAATTTCAATATTTTCTGAATGGTTCTCCCTCCCTCTCTCCTCTCTCTCTCACACATACACTGCGCACACACATTCGCATGCACGCACGCACGCATACACACACCTCTAACAATGGCTGAACGGTTGACAGACTTTGTGGTTCACTTGTACTTGATGTATCGAATACAGCTTTGTGTGTAGGACGCTTACAGGACCGGTACAGAATAGGCGTAGTAAGATTTCCGCGCGCACATATAGGGCACGTACACGGCGAAGTGGACAAACAACTGGACCCGCAGAGAATAACACTTAACTCTCCCAACTTTCAGTTTTACTGGCACCGAATCGATCACCGCGGCGCGTAAACGGTTCCTTCTTGTCCACTGCTGTCGCAAGTAACGGTCACTGCTATGATGATGTATGTACGTGTCTGCAATTGTCTGTAAGTGATTGCTTGTGCTCTGTTCAGATCTCTGTGAGGAGGAGGAAAAGTTCGACGTTCTAATCTATGATGTGAGGTGAGTTCGTGATATGATACAAGTGGGTCTTTGTAATCGAGGTTCCTGCAGGCTGCATTTAAGCGAGGGGGCGAACCACTGACGCGGAAAGTGAGCTCTCGCGCCAGTGTGTGTGCCCGCTCGTTTGGGTTGCCAGCAAAGCCGGAAATGTTTCCCATGTGGGCTGGGAACCATGCGATGGTGTGTAGACCGAAAGTTTTCCTCCTTCGTCTCGTGGTTGAAAAGCCTGTTAACGACCGCAGCTGCCTTCGAAGAGACTAGGGCCGCCGAAAAAGTTCTTATAGCTGTTCTAGAGTCCGAGTAAATGACAGAGGCTTCAGTGCAGCTTCGAAGGGCTAGCGCAATGGCCATTTCCTCTGCTTCGTGGGTGAAGTTGGTAACTACCGTGGCTGCGTTGACGAGCGAGCCGTGGGCGTCCACCACAGAGACTTGCATAGGCACCTCGATTCCAATATTTTGCGGCATCAACGAAGAGGACCTGCGTATCGTTGCACATGATCTTGGCGAGTATTGCCTTGGCTCTCGCTTTTCTTCGTCCTTCATTGTGGGTTGGGTGTATGTTTCTGGGAATCGGGTCAACTGTTATCGCTTTCATGGCTTGTGTGCAAAGTTGGGACTTTCTGGCGGCATGAAGAAAGGCTGAAGACCGGCTTCAAACAATATCTCGTTGCCCGCCTTTGAGAGTGAGAGCCGACTAATCTGTGCATGCCGCTGTGCCTCAAAGAGTTCGGTAGCTGTATTATGCAGGCCCAATTGTAAGAGTCGTTCCGTACTAGTATTGCGAGGGAGGCTCAGGACCCTTTTCAATCCTGTTCGAATTAATGTATCAATTTTGTTGAGCTCTGTCTTCTTCCATATGAAAAAGCCCACTTGAATATCAACTGTCTAATGTCCACACTTTAAGCCATTGTCCTCGTTTTAATTTGCAACTATGATAAATTGAAAGGGTGTAAGTATATTGGTGTCGGTGATGATGATTCATGGCGATACTTGTAGCGCACTGACATGGGCGAGAAAGTGAAAATAGGGCGATGCTGTTGCCATGAATTGTCACGCCCTACATTTTTGTAATATATAAACACCCGCCCTCGAGTCAATAATTAAAAAGTTTATTGACAAACTTTCGATAATTAGTCGCTGCAGTGTCATGCTAACTGCGGCAAGGTGTTTTCGTCTTGATGTGAAGTTATCGTGCGAAAACGACAAGAGCCTTACTGACTGTCATAGCATTTTTATTAAAGATTAATGTATATATATATATATATATATATATATATATATATATATATATATATATATATATATATATAAGAATTTATACAGACGCGCGTGCAAAGTAATATTATTTACGTTTCAGTCTTCGGTCGCAGTCGGAGCTTCAGAGAATGAAATGTGTAGTGACAGTACAGTTAATACAATACATGCCCTTATTAAGCAGAATGAAGTTATACAAACAACAACTGAAGCAAGTTTAGTGGTCAATGAAAATGCTCATGAACTGCTCAAGGCTATCGCTGATACATTTAATACACTGAGGACGCTGAAAAATATGCACTTAGGTATTTTTTGAGCCGCTGAAAAAGACAGCGAATGCACTATTTCTACCTAACGAACTATACTTAATTCAAGTGCGACAAGAAGTTCGACATATCGCGCAGTTTTTGAATGGTGTTTGACTCTCTCAACTACTCGATCGAGCGCAGAAAAAAATAACAACTAGCAGGTTCGGACCAGGTTTCGATTGCTCCGGCAGCTTAGATTATTTCGGGAGCCGACCTGTATCGACTATATATCGATCGTCAAGACTGACAACTATCTAAGATGCTGGACGAGCCACGCACACGCTATGGGCGGGGTTACCATGCCGCCTATTTTGAAGGATGGGCAGTAAACGGCTGAGTAAACATGCAGTCTAGATAAGCGTATCCGTTCAAAGACGTGGGTCCTTGCTATCCAAGCTGTGAATGACCGCGTCTGTCGTTCTGAATTCTAGTAGGAAGCCGACGTAGCTGGTCTAAAGTATATGCCCCGTTTAGGCTGTGTAGCGCATTTCTCAGCTGTAGTGGTGTCCCTGTGCACGGAAGCGTGAGCAGACATACAAAAGTGTCCATCAACAAATGACTATTTCTGATGGGCTATTGCAGGAGTGGACGTGAATACAGAAGACTGACAAACAATAGATATAATGTGATTATAAACAAACAAAATATTACAACAGCTCATCAATTCGCAGGCAAAAAATTCCAGTTTTTTATCACACAAGGAAAAAAAAAAGGCTGTGTTAAAAGTGTGTACAGGAGAAATAAAGCTTCCTGTGTAGGTGATGGTGGCTTCTGTTGCACTATATTCCATTGTGGGAGTTGGGGAATGCTCTGAACGCAGTATATATCAATCAGCTCACGGAATTCTGGGCCAACTTTGCTGAAAAAAATGATTCAGTAGCTCACGCATTCTATAGCATATATAGCCAAACCCACACCGCGGTGGTCTATAGTGATTATGGTGTTCGACTGGTGACTCGCAGGATTGAGTCCCGTACGTGGCGGCCACACTTTCCATGGAAGCGAAAATGGTTCAGGCCCATGTACTTAGATTTAGGTGCGCGCACGTTAAAGAACACCAGACAATACAAATTTCCGGAGCCTTCCGTTTCGGCATCTTTCGTTATGAAATCACGGAAGTTAGAACCCTAACAATTATTACTAACATAGCCAAACCGTGCCCACAGGTATCCACTGAAAGTGATACTGAACATATATGTGGACGTCTATATACCGAGTGTCCAAAGTTAAGATTTATGGCGCTCCTAATATTCAGGACCAAGAGGTACGTGATAAACACCTTTGCAGATAAGTTATATAGCCAGGAGGACGTAAATTAAGTAAGACAATAATTATCGCTGTCAGCCGCCCTGTTAAGATTAAATAATGAACTTTAGTAACTGCAGAAAGTGGGCATGTTTGTATTAAAAAGTTCGAGGCAGTATTGTTTCTGTTTAGAAAAAATATTTACACTATGTACAAAGCATAAATTATGCGAGACGAATCAGCGTTCAGGAATGGATTCACATTTTCACAATTGTACATCACGTCACCTCAACACAAAAGCTCACATTTCCACATAGGGCGAACAGTGGTAGTGCGATCAACATAGTAGCAAATGCATGTAACTCGCAATTGACACAATAACGAATGGCTTTCTACTCATTTCCACTTGGAAGAATTCTATCTTGTCTGTGCACCAAGATATACGCTGCTGCCAACTTTAATTGCGATTTGCTTGATTACGCATGCAAGGCAATGAGCACTGGCGCGAAGTTACTCTCCGTTGTGATTTACATATCCAACAAGCACGCTCCCAACGCTTAATTCAGTGAACACGCCTTAATGTGTTTATTAATGGGAACGTTCTAATCGCGTAATTAGGCGTGAGAAGCTAATTTACTCGAGTAAATTCAAATGCTGGCTTGAGGTAGAGCTCTTCTATAGTGCTTGATATTGTGTTCATTAGAATGGGCTACCCGCGTCACATTTACTCTTGTTGCAGGCGTGGAATGGGTGGTCCAAACTGAACTTATTAGAGGGCAGCTTTTACGCGCTCGTTCCTGTGTTGAGCGACGTCACCGTTGTCGTCGCCGGCGTAACCACGCGAACAAGCGCTTGCCACGGGAATCAGGCAAGCCCCTACAGCTGCTGTGATTGTCAAACGAAAACTAACAGGCGAAAAAGATACAAAAGTAAAGAGAGAGAAAGAAACGAAGCTATACAAAACGTAGAAAGAGGAAGAGATACAGTAAGAAAGCAATACAAAAGAAAGGAGAGAAAAAATGGAGAGAGAGAGAGAGAGAGAGAGAGAAAAGCTGAGAAACAAAGAGAGATAGAAAACGACACAGAAAAACGTAAAAGGAGAACGCAATATATAGGAAGAAACAGACACGAAGGAAAGACAAGAAACAGAAAACAATGCAGAAACAGAAAACATAGTTGTGCGTAGCACTCCAGCGCTTTCAGCGTATCGCTTGGTTCGTGACGCGTGCACTGCGCAGAGCGGTGTGCGAGAATGTTACTGCATATGACGTATCTTTGGATTGCATATACAGCAACTGCGTGGTTGCAGTAACTGCGCATATGTTGTGCGCGTAGTTGAGCTTTACACGGCGTTGGTTGTGCATTAATGTATGACACTCTGTGGGAGAACCAAGGGGGTAAAACAATATATCAAACGTTATAGCTTCAGCACCCTGTAATTGCTACCTTTAGTGCGCGAAGCACTTCAGCGCTGGCAGTTTTTGTGGCAATATGTAGCTAGTGTTACATTGCTACAACTGCGGACAGCCAAACCTTGCAACTGAGTTGGAGTTGTCCCAACATGAAGATGCATGCGCTCAGAATTCACATTAGGAAGCATCGTAATCATCTGGTTTTTTTAAAAAAAAAAACGTATTAAAGAATTATAGCCGAGGTTAACTGGTGACCGATTTTTCTACTTGAGCATCTCATATTAATAATATTTGCATGTAATCAGACATTTATCAACCTTCTTGATTTCTCTGGCTCTTTGGGAAACACTGGGTCCCTAAAGTTCGCATGTGGAACATGTAGGACTCTCCGAATTCAACTTCGATCACTAAGAACCAGAGAGTCTCGCACCGTGAATTTCACTTCATGAAGTATAATTAGGGATAGCAAATTGTGCAGTTATAAACATCCAAACCTATAACGCTCTAACAAGGTATACAGAAGGAGCTTATACGTGAGTAAGTCTTCGCCGCTGAGGGATGTCATGCGGCGCGTCTTTATGTGTCGACAATCCCTGCAATCAACTTAAGGGCACCCTTCTAATGTACGCTTGTTACTTCGAAAATAAACGCGTACGCTACTACGTTATCAAACGCAAAGCATAACATATACTTTTCGGTACTTCTCTTTGCACAGGTAACAGGAAGCAACAAGGGCATAGGGTTCTGCATAGTGAAGTTCCTGTGTCAACAGTTTGACGGAGATGTCTTCCTTACAGGTGAGTGGACTGCGTTATGGAATATATGAATACTGATGTTCCGAGATGGTGATCTTATGCCTCTCGCTAGAAAGTAACTTTGCCACAGTGATATTCCGTTTTATAGTGAAGTGTACACAATGAGTTACTGTGGCTTGTGCTTAGACTAAGGAGTTACCAAGTACGTAGCTGGAAAATTACTCGAGGGGGGGGGGTTAAGATATATATTGTGGATGTTAGTGCTTGCGCTCGTATATGAGCGTGTATAATACGCAAGCAAAATTGAAAATTTTCGGGGCGGGGGGGTGGATTTCCACCCCGCCTCTTGGCTGTTCCCATAAATACGCAAGCAAAACTACAAAACTTTGGGGCGGGGGGGGGGGGGGTTCAGACCCCCGACCTTCGGCAGTGCTTATGAAAGGTACCGCCAAGTATACACATGCGTGCACCGCTTCTGGTCACAGTACGATCACCAAGACTTCTAGTTGGTGTAATGGCAAGTCTTCGTAGCTTTTTTCTGGCCTGAATGTGATTAGTTATGCTTTTTTTTGTAGAAACATGTTTGGAAATATCTTTGCCATGGTGAGTCTAACGGTAGGATATGATCAGAGATGCCACGCACGTAATGAAGAACGTGTACAGGTTTCATTGTGCTATCAAATACAGGGCGAATTAGGTGTAAGAATCAATAGCTCAAATTACCACGCTCACGTCAGAAGCGCCTATAAACGCCTGTAAACTTTACTTATTACACATGTAGGAGTTCGTACTTTGAAAAGAAACGGTACGTGAGCACGTTCGCAATTGAACAACGCATACTCGCCATTAAGCACCTCATACCCCCTTTTCACTGTTTGTGTGCTTGACCGCACAATAGCAGTGTACTGCGGCAAAATTATTTCATAAAACAAAAAAAAAAAAGGCTACGTGTGTAACACGACCGCTCCCAAGGCCTGCCAACACACTTATTGAACGTCTCGGTGTTCTTTTTGTGTACTGAAATGGTGCGTGTGCACGTGCGTAATTAAGCAAGACAAGCAAGTTTTAATAGGTCATCTTACTGCATTCACCTTTCACACTTAATATGCTTCATTACACAGCAGAGTCGTAATGCAGCAGAAATGACTTAAAAAAACGAAAACTCAGCTGCACGTAAAAGGCCTTTGCTCTCGACGTCAACGCAGAAAATGTAATAGTAAGTTTTAGTTTGTGAACCGTATTGTGCACGTAGTCGAACTTACTCGGCATTGGTTGTGCATTACTGTGCGACACTCCGTGTGGGAACCGAAGGTGTAAAGCCAAATGACAAACGCTGATACCTTATGTGGTCATCTGTTAAAACGTACTATTAGCTAATAGTGCAATAGACGACCACAAAAAGTACTTATCTATTGCACCACTAAGTGGTTATTGCGTCATGCCGTGCTCTTATGAAGTGTATGTGTGTAAAGTGGTGAGTCGCTGTCGTTGTGTGTGCTCGCGATTCCATTTTAAATAGGTTCAATCGTCAGTGTCAGTGCCATAAGTTTGTCTATTTGGCTTCTTCCCAGTTTGTTTCGCGCCTCTCGCCGCAAAAAAAAAAAAAAATACCAACCGGTTTAGCGGAAAATTGTTCTGAAAGACTACTCTAATCCCTGATGGAGATATGAAAAGTGTAGAAGGGGGAGAAAATGCATGACAAATACTCTAAAATATGTGTATATTTAAGCATGTGTACGCTGTATGCCTGTACAGACACCACTGCATATAAGTTATAACCACACTGCGTAATAAAGACGTGCATGTGCATAAATTATTACCTACATCATTGTTCCTCATTTCTAAGTTCGCGTAAAGAATGGTAGGTAACACGTGCGTTAGGTATTACAACATGTACGCCGTGGTGGAGCAGCGGGTGAAGGTGCTCCGCTGCGAACCCGAAGGTCGTGGGCTCGATCCCCGCCGCGGCGGTCGCTTTTCCATGGAAGCGTAATGGCAGAGGATCACCTACTGTGATGTCAGTGCACGTTAGAGAACACCACGTTGTATGAATTTCGGGATCCTTCCACTATGGCGTCTGTCATAATCATATCATTGTTTTGGAACGTAAAGGCCAAGATATTGTTAGGTATCACCGCATCAATTCAGAACTGTTAGTTCAGAACGGATTCAGATAAAATTTCTATAACACAGATTGCGTTACTCACAAGTCCTTCTCTGCATCTTTCCAAGCTTTCTCAGAAAGATGCAGGGTATTTAGGGATCACTGGATCCGCAGTAGATTATACAGGAAAACACATTGTTGATGGGCTTTATCATTTCACCTTTTAACACGTCGCGAGTGGGCAGCTTCGAATTGAATCATTCAGAAATGTGTTTTTTTTTTTTTACGAACAGCCCGGGACGAGAAGCGTGGCAAAGAAGCCGTGGCAGAACTTAACAAGCATCTGCTGCGTCCCAAGTTTCACCAGCTCGACATCGACGACATCGAAAGCATCCGCAGATTTCGCGACTTCCTCAAGAGTGAGTATGGAGGCCTGGACGTGCTCGTGAACAACGCCGGCATCGCTTACAAGGTGGGTGAACGCGGAAGAGCACGTCATTCTTAATTTGAACGCTGTCGGATTAAATTTCAGTATAACTTGACGGAAGAGCATAAAGAACGAGACCAATCGCTATGTATGAAGGCAAGAGTGTAAATCTCGTTTTCTTTGATAGATACAGTATTAATGTCAACTAACAGATAATGATACCAAGAGAAGTATATATGTGGGGATGTTATCAGAAGTAACTGTAATGTAAGTGTGAAAAAAAGAAAAGTGGCGATGACATTTCGCGGAAACAGCGCGTAAGATATATGACGTTACGCCAGAACTGCCACAACCTGTGATACGGCCGTTAATACCGCATTGCAGCTGCTACGCAACAGAAAAGTATGCTCTGAGCCTGCTGAACCATAATGAAGTAACCTAAGTTTTCCCGAGGCTTATTTATATTAACGATGCACGCGTATTTGTCTGCTTTCGTAGCACCGAATCACACTAATTTATTTAAATTTAAAGGCTTAAAACTAAACGCTGCTGTAACACGAAGGGGACTTGAGCAGACATAAAGTAGGTGATTATCGTTCGCTCGTTTTACACATCCTTGCAGTGTTCGCTCCCCCCCCCCCCCACGTTCCTGTTCTTTTTTCAATCTTCTTTGTTGATTGATTGATATGTGGGGTTGAACGTCCCATAACCACCACATGATTATGAGAGACGCCGTAGTGGAGGGCTCCGGAAATTTTGACCACCAGGGGTTCTTTAACGTGCACCCAAATGTGAACACACGGGCCTACAGCATTTTCGCCTCCATCGAAAATGCAGGCCGCCGCAGCCGGGATTCGATCCCTCGACCTATGGGTCAGCAACCGAGTATACCTAAGCCGCTAGACTGTCGCGGCGCGGCAATCGTCGTTTCGTTGAGGCGCTCTTGGTTGCTAAGAAACTGAGAACCTCGTTCGGCGTGCCGAATGTCCATTCGTATAAAAAGTGTATTTCTCGAAAGGTGAACGATGAGTGCGTCACGCTTTCTTCGAAACAGCATAGCCTGCATATTGAGCCTTACATTGACTCAGTAAAGCTTTTGTAAGCTATTCGCCTACATTCAGCTGTATTTATTGCGTGGTTGCTGTCTTTCCTTTACCTGCAGCAAAATTCTACAGCGCCGGTTGCAGAACAAGCAAAGGTTACCGTGAATACCAATTTCTTTGGGACTCTCAATGTCTGCAAGGAGCTCTTTCCTTTGCTACGCCCACATGCGAGGCTCGTTTTTTTTTTCTAACCTTCATATACAAAACGCTCACCTGGTACTTTACGTGGGCAAGAGGAGTGGGGAGGAAAAAAAACTGTAGAAGAAAGGCACGAGGAACATAAAGTAAAAGCATGCTTGAACTAAAAAAATGAAATAAATTAAAAATCCGACTGAGTTTTCTAGCTCTTGAACGGGGGCTTGCGCTGGTAGAAGCTTTCATTACGTGCATGCAAGGTGCATTTAAAATTAGTCTACCTGACCTTTACTACCAAAATATGTAAACAGAAAATTCATAGCACGCGTCTGTTGCGTGAGGCAAGCTAAAAGGCATATAACGCACAGTCAAATGATAATTCTCTGTCACACAAGTTTGGCCTTGTAGACGACCTGCTATTATTACTTTACTTGATTCAAATGTTTTATATTTGTTTATTTGCTTCGTACCTCAATATTTTCTTTTCCTTTTCTTCTAGGCACATATGCTTGCTTCAAAGCATTTAGTTATGAACCCCGTAGAGGTTCGTATGTGTGCATACATAATGTGCACCCATGCGCTTCGTGTGCGTTTCTTTATTGCAGGGTGGTTAATGTGAGTAGCATGTGCGGCATGCTTCAGAGAATTCCCGGAGAAGAACTCAAGAAGAAGCTAAGCAACCCTGATATTACTGTGGACCAGCTCTGCGACCTCATGAATGACTACGTGCAGTGAGTATCCTGCTGGTTTTAACTGTACAGCTTTTCTTACGCACTCAGGCTCTCCGCAACAGCATGCTTGTTCCGTGTTTCAATTTTCGTCGCAAACTAGGGCCGCCAAGGATGGAACGAATGTCGAGAAAGGATGGGGGCAGTCTTCCTACAACGTGTCCAAGGTCGGAGTCACTGTGCTGACCTTCATCCAGCAGCGTGATTTCAACGCGGACCCCCGTGAGGACCTAGTTGTGAATGCCGTGAGTATAGGAACGTTTAAGCAAAGCTTTAGGAGTTACAGATTTCGGTGAAGGCGGCGTCGTACGTAAAAAAAAAAAATGGCCCCGGCAGCAGAATGACTCGACAGTAATGCGGTCGTCGACTATATTTTATTTCACGTAACTATTTCACGTGGCTATTTTAAT